TCCCTCTCCCTCTCTCTCTCTCTCTCTCTCTCTCTCTCTCTCTCTCTCTCTCTCTGTGTGTTTCCAAGACTCTTTGATACTAGCTCAGTCGTTTCGCTGTCGGACATTTACCGCAGCTGCCGTCTCTTTAGCAAGCAAGATGCTTTCGAAGGCGCGTTAAAATATGGAACCCAGGCTAAATAATGACCGAAGACAATTTGACGAACCAGTCTGAGCTGAACGTGGCTTTTGAATGTGACCGAGACTAATTAATGATGACCAAAGTAAATTGGGAGCACTGACAAAGTGTGTAATTTCTAAGAGACTCCTTTTATTTATTCCCCACTGGGTGTTGCCGCCTCACGCTAACTAACACTGTACGTCACAGTGTACAAACAATGCTTTGTTTGTCATATTTCTATTCGCGTTTCGTGCTCTTTGTTATCTTATCGTTCTATTTCATTATTGCACCTGTATGCGAACATAGGTAGTAACCACACCATGTAATACTCTGTTATTTGAACCGAATCATCATCATCATTGCCTTTCTCACCCTGGACCAGCTAATAGGACATGAACAAACCTTTTTTACCTTTCCTTATCCTGGGCTTGCTGCTTGATGTTATTCCATGTCTTCCCACTTTTCTGTACAACGGCAGAAGCTCCAGTGTCTCCCACGATGGAAAATGATGAGGCGTGTTTGTTTGCGTTTTTGTAACTTTCAGTTTTTACAGGGTCGCGTAGTTGGCCCTCTGCAAACTGGCACTTTTCGGGAGACCAGACCTACGCACCTTTAGTCGCCTCTTAAGACACGCAGTATCACGGCAGGTGTTATTCTTTTGAGTTAAGAAGTCATATGAATAATACTTATCTGTGTTAATGAGCCATGGGCAAACTACGGCTCGCGGACCAGATATGGCTTGCGATCACTTTCAGTGCAGCCGGCGGGTCGCGACCCAGTGATTAATAATGAATGTGGTCCGCGGTGAGTTGATAATTAATGAAAACCAAACTGTTCGTCTTGAAAATTATAATCAATAGGTTCTGGCCCTGCTTGAAGCAAACATCTTATACTGTACATATATTTTCTCAGATAGAATGCCCTTGAGTGACATAATATGTTTCAGTGCCTGTTTTTGTCTCACGTTTGAAAGCTGCGGTATTTCAACCGATTTCGTCCACGTTTCTCCTGCTTTGGCCCTCAAGATATTCGGAATCGCTTAATCCGACCGGCGACGTGGACACACCACTTGCCCGTGCCAGCTTTATGTAATGAGTCATCAGAATAGACCAATAGAATTTCTATTAGACGCGGCAGCCTGTGTTTCCTACTTCTTTTCAACTTTGTTTTTGTTCTTATATGTTTTTGGCGACATGTGGCTTCTAGTGTTTCGATTCGAAGCAAACCACTTGTCGGATCAACATTAGAAAAAGTAGAAATTAATTACGTTCACAAATGTTTGGAGACTCCCAATTTTATGTAAGAGCCCACCCCTACCCCTACCCCCTCCCTTCTCTCTGTGTCTCTCTGTGTCTCTCTGTTTCTCTGTCTCTCTGTCTCTCTCTCTCTCTCCCCCTCCCCCCCTCTCTCTCTCTCTCT